AGGTTCTTGGGGAGGAACGGTACAAAACCCCGTTGCCTTTCTGAAGACAAGAGTGTGTGGGTTGGGGGGGTGGGAAATAGGCTTTTACTCCAGGTGACTAATTGCTGTCCTCTGCAGGTTTGCAACTCACAAGCCAACTTCCTTCTGTTAGTAGCCTGACCATGGTGGGGTTTGTTTCCTATCCTTCTACCCCATCCATAGTGGGGTTTGTTTCATATCCTTCTACCCCATCCGTGGTGGGGTTTGTTTCCTATCCTTCTACCCCATCCATGGTGGGGTTTGTTTCCTATCCTTCTACCCCATCCCCACCATCTGGGTGGTGGCACTCTCCTGAGCAAGAGATTAGTCCTTACGAGGATCAGCCTTCCCCCAGAGGTCCTGCATTTTCCCATCTCTTTGAGGTGAAGGTCAAAGTTACCTCAAAGTCAGCACGTGTGACCTGATCCAAACCCTGTCGGTTGTTGTCACACCCCTTTGTCCTGAATTGGCACCTGAGTACCCGCTGTCTGTCATCTGGCCCAAGGAAATCTATGTCTTTAACTGACTCGCTCTTTGTATTTGACCCATTTAATCAGATTTTCCCTCGATTTCAAGGTTTGAAATACAAGAATGAAGTTGCAGTAGTAGAAGTCCTTATATTTAATGTTGAGAAGTTATCTTGCATATCAAACCAGATTCAAGAGCCCATGCAGAGATACCTGCAGGAAACCTACCACCAGAGCTGTAATTTGTTTGGTGTCTCTAATAAATTAATTTAAAAAAAAAATTCTTTGTATGTAGTTGTGGGTTTGATATGGGACCTTTGCTATCTGAGGATTCCTGTTGAATGACCCACTTGAACTGCTGGCCTGCAACTAGAATTTCGAGTCAGTGTAAACGTATTTGCAAGAAACTACATTTTCATCCTGCTTTTGCAGTGCCTGCTTTTGTGTCTGTTTCTTTTCTTTTCAGTATTAAAATACTTTCTAGCATAACAGAGTACCTAAGCAGACTCGTCCAAGCACTTGAAAGGGCATACATGCCTGAATGCAGACTTTTTTTAGGCTGAGCAGAGTTATTAGGGTAATTCTGAGAGTTCACACAATTTAGCTATTGCTTAAGCCACAATGAGATTTGCTCTTTATTTGTAAGATCTGTAAAAGTATAAAATATTGTGGATTTTTTGCACGCTTAAGAAATGAGGCACATTAGGTACAGACAATGCTTTCTAATTGGAATTGTCCAGTTAATAAATGAAAACTCAGTATGGTGTGTCATGGTTAATTTCATGTTTTGCAGGTGGTTATGGTGCAACTGCATTAAATATGAAGCGGGATCCCCTGAAACTCAAAAGTGTGGACACTGAATTTCCACTGACACTTGGTCGAGATGTCTCTGGTGTTATTATGGAATGTGGACTCAGTGTGTCTTATTTCAAACCTGGAGACGAGGTGATACCACCAATCTCTTTTTTTCTAAAATGTATAGTTAAAATATACTATGAGATTTTCAGCTTTCATTTTTCTCTTAAGAAAATTATTTTTTTGTTTTTTTTTGGTATTTTTGGGCTCTGAATGAGGACTATTTGGGAGTAAGTTCCTAGGATGCTTTCTTCCCTACCTTTTTTCTCTGAATAACATGGTCTTTCCCAGACTTGCTTCTGCAAGTTAATTTCCTTTCTGTTTTTTTCAATTTTTGTTCCATTTCAGTGGTAGCAAGAGATGAATTAATTTCTTTATTCATGTGCACGCTCAAGATGCTGCTTCATTTTTTTACTGAAGATAGAATTGTAACAGGAAGGGATTAGTTGTTTTTTTTTCCTTCAGTAACTCAGTTAGGATAGGATCTCTGTCATAACCCAAGAAGCAGTTTATGAGTCTCCATAACAAACTGGTATTGTTTATTCTCACCTTCACCAGTTGCTTTCACATTTCTCCAGTTTTAGTATAGCAAATTCTGATTCCTCCCCACACCATCCCCTCCAATCTGAGCTTTTCTGGCATGGAAGTAGTTTGGGTTTTTTCAAAAATTCTGTCTTATACAAAGTATGGTACAATTTATTTACATAGCTTTGCAGTCCTTCATTTAGTCAGTCTTGTGATGTTTTTTGTGTAAAGAGTAAGCTAAACTGGTTTCTGATAAGCAATAGTGAAGACATTCTGCAAATTGTAAAAACAATTTGTTTAATGAAGAAAACTTCTGTGTAGGTACAATCATGTGCAAAGTCACAAAAATTGATAGTTGTTTTCTGTTTGGTTTTAGGTGTGGGCAGCAATTCCTCCGTGGAAACAGGGCACTCTGTCAGAGTTTGTGGTAGCTAGTGGAAATGAGGTAAACCTTCAAAAAGTGGCTAACAAGATAAAAGCCCCAAATTGTAAAGACTGGCTTTTTTTTTTTCCTTCAGTGCCTCTACTGTCCATATCTTGGTGCTTGGATTGATTTAGACTCCAGCTAGTTATAAGATAATTGAGAATGTGGAACACACAATCTGCAATTCAGTAGAGCTTGTTTAAATATTTCAGTGTCACGCAGGATCTGCTGTGTGATTTAGATTCGATTGATTTTATTTTAGGTGTCTTTTAAGCCAAAGTGTCTCAGTCACACAGAAGCTGCCTCCTTACCATATGTAGGTCTCACAGCGTGGTCAGCAGTTAACCAAGTTGGAGGACTGAACCAAAACAATTGTAGTGGGAAAAGGTAAGTCAGTAGTTCTGGTGCTAAAACTTCATGTTTCATTTTTGTACTGATTAACTGCTTCTAAGACGTGTCCAGTGTCTTAGAAGAATGAGGACTGTTACACCATGACATTCACAAAGACCAGGTGGCCTGAAGATGCTGGGTTCAATCTACACAACTGCTGAGAGAGGCTTCTTTAGAGGGAGACTCAGACAAGGACCCTAACTGAAGTGTACCTAGTCACTTGCTCTTTGCTTCCTCTATATAGTGACTATACAGAGGTAGTCCAGTGTATATCTTACATATAGGACTATGTAGAGAATTTAAGGGCAATGTCTCTAGGAGTTTATAGGGACTTTGCCTTTTTGCCTTTCAGCCTGCTAGGACAGCTATCCAAATGTAATATCCTCTCTGAGTTATTTTGGCAACTCACAAAAAGCCCTCTCAGCCACAGAGGTGTGGTGTGCTCAGTTCCTGCGTGCCTGGGCCATTTGGAACAGACTGGTTTTCCATCTTTTTAGGAAAAAAAAAAGAACAGGTGACCGGGTTTCATTTCACCTCTAGGCCAGACCTTTGATGAGGTCAGGAATGCAGAAGAGAAGAGGAAAACGTGCAAGACGAACAGCCAAATCAAATGGAAAAAGTTGGCTTTGTTTATCAGCCTGTTAATCTGACAATGGCAGATGGAGGACAGAAGAGGAAAAATGCATTGAAAGATTGGAGCAGATACCATTTTTCTCCTCATAATTGAAATCTGCACTTATTTTGGCCTTGGGATGTTTGTGTAAATAGACAGCAGAATCTTCAGAATGGAAAGAAGGGCAAAAGTAAAAATACTGGAATTGAAAAATAATCATTAAAATTACTGTGCTGCACCAAAAATTTAGGTCACAAAGTAATTATTGGGCAGTAGGAGTCTAGATGCCTGACCTCTTATCTTGGGTGTTACTGTTGTCATGCAACACATTGCAAAGGACACTAGATTTATTGACATTCTTCACCCACGTTGTTAGAAGATGATTGAGTGAGTGTTGTTCACATGTCACAGTAAATTTCATAGTGAAAATATCAAGTAATTGTTCTAAAGATAAACAATGCTTTGAGAAAATGAAATTACAAAGTTTAAAGCAATTTCAAAGAGACATCCTTGAAATTTACTTCCAACTAGTGATAAAATTCTAGATATGTTGCCTTCCTTTTTATTTTTCAGTATGCAGACCTTTTTAATCATAACTTTCACATGTAAGTAGAATTAACCTAAAGGTATGTTGATAGGCTAGCCTTGTTTTAAGTATCTTTTCAATTTTCAGATGTTTAGATTGTTAAAAGTGAAATTCAGACTGCATTTATATCATGTCTACATTTAACATTTGCTTTTATGTTCCAAATCAATATTGAATTACTGTCAGCAAAAAACATTAATGTATTCATAAATTATGGTGTTTCCCATTGAGAAGTTTTGAATTGTAAAAATGGCAGAGAATGACTTGCATGATGATAGTTGTTTTCCCCTGAAAAAAATTATTGTAGGAAGATACATAAAATGCATTGAAAGGGCTGTGCAAATGTATATTCCATGCCTCTTTCAAGGCAATATTTAAAAAGAGAAGAATTTACATAATGTTTCTTAATTTCTTGCAATAATTTAATATGTTTAGTAAGAAGTTACCTACATATGTGATTTTATGTTGGTCTTTTTGTCTCCTGTAGGTGTATGTTAATAGCTATGTAGAAGGGTGTGTATACACACAAGAGTGTGTCTTATTTTGAAAGAGCAGCTGTATTCCTTGATGAAAGCTACTTCACTGGTACTTTATTGCAGTGTTAAGACATCTTAGACACAGCGAGATTTTTCCATTGGTGTGTATTGTTTTCTTTGGCTCTTAAAGGTGGAAGGGTGGGCTAACCAGAAACACTCGCTAGCAGTCCCGCATCTGACTGTCTGTTGATCTGACAGGAGTGTCTGCTACATCTGCACACACTTTCACAAATCTGGTTTTTACAATTTACCTGAAGTGTACTGACATTGTCCCTGATGTCTGCTGCTTCACTGTAACTCCAGTCATTTCTCCATAACTTTTATCCCATACCACTGTAATTTATGTCGATATTCTTGCGCAGGCTAAAAGTGAATGTTCCTGTTAACCAAAATGTTCAGAATGACACTGGTGTTTTGAAGTTCTTTGTGGATAATACCTGGAGAGCTTCTCATACGTGCCAGTGCTCTGTTTTAGTAGGAAGGAGATATGCTTGTTCAACAATAGCTATTAAATGTCTTGCTTGCTGTATTCACAAAAAACATGATAAAAACAAACTGGACAGTTTGTGAAAACATTTTCTTTAATATTAAGTAAAGGTCTTTTATATAAACACAGAATCAATATTTTAGATGTTTAAGTATGCTGGGGAGAGCTGCTGGATTCTGTTACTGTAAGCTATTAAATGTACACTCCTGGTTTATATTGTTACAACGAAGATTTGAATTATAACCCAAGAAAATATATTTTTCAACATCTGTATTATTTTATCTATTGAGAAGTACAAAGTGACTGTAGGTTGTAAAACTTCTTGATAGGGTAAATGCTTCTTGATATAGGAATACATCTCTTAGTGACATTTTGTTGGCATAATCAAATGGAATTTAATTTTATATGTGTGTATATAAAATTGATATATTTATTCAATAATATAATATAAAATATGTTATAAAACATACATAATATATTTTATTTGGCATGTAGCTGAGTCACTGAAAACTGTTAGTTGTTTATAATATGGAGAAAATGTTAGTCCTTGATCTGTACACCCACTCCCTACCCCCTGTCTCTTTTGTTGTGGGGGATACACGCAGCTGAAACAGGTCCTGGCTCTCTGTTGCTAGTTTCTGACCACACCATAGTTCCAGGCAGGGCCCAGGGAGAAGGGCTGAACTCTCAAATCCCATGGTATGCTCATCGGGAGAGATCTGCTGACTCTCTGATCATTTGGACCACTAGAGCCTCATATGGGGCTTGGTGAATGCTGGCTTCAGTTATGTGTCTCTGTCAGAAGGGAGCAAATCCTGGGGTGTGAATGTTTGTTTTGCTCATTTGAGAGAGTTGATTCTCTTGGATCTCTGTTCAGGTCAAATAATTTGTTAGTTTGTTCCCTCGTGCACGTGCCTATATGTTAGTTTACTCCTGAGCTCACCTTTGCAGTGAAACAGGAAGTTTCTCTGATACGTTTTTTCCTGTCTGTGTTTTCCTGAGGCAGTGCAAACAAAACTGTGCCTGCCTTGGCACTCTCCGGCACCTGTGGGCCTTCAGTATCATCCTAACAGGTCCTGCACCTTCAAACACTTCCCCACTTCCTTGTGTTGTGCCAAACGACATGTCTTGCTGTCCTCAGTGCTGTAAAAATGCTGATCTGTTGAGCTGTGGCATATGGATCTCCTGCCCTGACATAATTTGGCTCTGCAGCGAAGAGCTTCCTTGAAGTCACGAAGTATGGAGAGAGTTTTAATAACTAGAAGGTTTGGTAGAAAATAGCCCATGTAACATAGGAACAAACCAAATCTGGGAAGTATTTCTACCTGAAGAATCTCAAGGACTTTTACTGAAGGGGAAAATAAAAAAAAAAAACCCTAGCCAAGCAGCTCACCAAAACTGAAAATGTTACCTAAATCCTTGAGCAAAATGTACATTTTAAAACAAGAGCTTTCTCCAAGATTTTTAGTGGAAGAAATGCCCTTTAAGCAAGGAATAAAGTTGGACAGGCAGTTTGACAAGGTTTTTTTAAAAGGATTTAATTGTGACTGTCCTTTGTAAGGATAAATATGGGCTTAACCCAGTATCTTGAGTGTAGCATCCCTGAGCCTTTTCAAGTATACTAAAATCTGAATATGAATGTTGCTTCAGGCATCTGTCGTTGGAAGCGTGGTTCTGAGGATAAGTACTTTTTGGCAGGTTTAAAAGCTGCAGGCATTGTGGTTTCAAATTCTTAATCTGAATTTTGCAGCTTGGATCAGTGAAATAGGCAGGAATGGAATCTGATCAGTTACAAAGAGGAAGAATTTTAAAATGGATACTGTGACCAAAGCCAAGTCTCTTAGGTTACTTCAAAGAATTTTCGTAAACTGAGACTCTGGATTGTATAGTACAGTTTTGCACAGTAAAAGGCAATTTCCTTCAACATCCAGCACAGTGAGATTTAAAACAGGAACATCACCAGCTTCTGAAGACACTGAAATTTTTCTGGCAAACAGAAGTTCTGAGAAGCATGATGTTCCGCAATCCTATGCCAAGACTTCATCTTGGATCCTCCTTTTGTCCTAGAATTAGCAAATGGGTCCAAAGTGCAAGCACTGTTTGTAGCTTCAGCAGCAAGGCTTTCTTACTAATTCACTTTCTGGAGTTTAGTTATTTAATAAAATATCTGGATTAAATTTTTGAACAGTGATTAGGCTCCTAGCAGTAACATTCTCACACAACTAAACTTCCATTCATTTTTATGAAATTTAGGGTAGTGTGTTCAGTTGAAATGAACTCTCACTTGTTAATAATTTGGTAATGCACTCTTTCATTTTCTTGCTTGTGTGCCAGTTTCCACAACCTGGCATTTACAGGGTCTTGTTGAGATGTACTGAACTAGAAAAATTATACTGCCTTTTTTCTAAAGAAAAAGTCAGATATCTTAATGTAATAGAACTTAAAATTGTTTATGGTAAAGCTACTTCATTGTATTTTTGTCTTTCTTTTAGGTAAATATGCAATATGGCAAAATTCTGTTCCATATATTCTGAAGTTCCCAGTTTGCCTAAATAATGTGATACTAAACTACTTTTTCTCTTAGATAACACCAATTTGTGTAAAATGTTGGTGAATCAGATTTTTTTCTTTAGGAGATACGACAGTGGAGTCTGGGAGTCTTTCTGTTAATTAACTAGTGTTGTCTCAAACTAAGTAGTTAGGTTTGGGAAAGTGAGGACAGGGACCGGGTTTTTTGGGTGATAAATGTTACTGCCGGACAGCTCCACTGCCTGGATTTAGTGGAAAGCACATATAAGGAAGTCTGTTGGGCTGTGCTGAGGTAAAGCTCTTGGCACAGGAATGATCAGCAATGCTAAGTCATGTTATTGGCTATCTGAAGAGTTAACCACTAAGTAATATTGAATAACAAAATACAGTCTTCTGCTTAAAATAATTTGGTGTCAGAGATGTATAATAAGCATTAGAATACATATTTACTATAGAGCTTAAAGAATTATTTAATATATTTTAATTTTCTCTTACAGAGTATTAATATTAGGAGCTTCAGGAGGAGTTGGTACATTTGCTGTACAGGTAATATAAACCAGCATGCCCAGGATGCATCTTCAAACTATTCAATGTGAAAAAAAAAAACCCAAAAAACCAGAAGGGAATTGAGGGAAGGAGTAGTAAAATAGCAAGCTACTGATCTATCTGATTGGTATTTCCAAAAGTGAAATATTTTCAGATTTATTGCTTTCCATTTGTTACATTGTATTAGTTTAAAGTAGGAAGCAGGGACTTTCAAAAAAAGGAGTTGTAAGTGTAGGTGGTTGTGATAGTTTAACTTAGCTGGCAGTCAGATAAGACAGCTGCTCGCTGCCCCCGTCCCCACTTCCCCCCCACCCAGGAAATCAGGGAGAGAATTGGAGGGGTAAAGGTAAGGAGACTTAGGTTGAGATAAGAGCAATTTAATAATTAGAGTAAAATAAAATTAAAATTAAGATAGTAATGATATTAATAACAACATTTATTAATGATGATATTAATAACAATGATATATATGAGTGATGCAGAGTACAATTGCTCACCACCCACTGATAACAATCCTGGAGGAGTGAAAAGGAACCCCAAAACCAAAATTGCAATCCTCAAAAAGCAAGCCTGAGTGATTCCCCGAGAGAATCTCCCCACTTTCCAGTCAGCCCCAGTTACATTATTAAACATAATGTAATATGCTATGGAATATCTTATTGGCACATCCAAATGTCAATTCTGGGTTTTGCTAACTACTACACTTTTCCCCCTCCCAGTCCTTTGCACTTGCAAACTACCCAAACACGGTGTCCTTGTACCTTATCAACATTCTTCTCATCACAAATCCCGCACTGAAACCAAAGCACGGTGCTTTCTGGCTACTAAGAAGAAAATTAACTCTTGTCCTAGCAAAAACCAGGACAGCAGTGAAAGATGGCATTTCACAGTTTGGGTGCAGGAAATTTCTGATTGGTGTAACTTGAAATATGTAGCCTGTTTTCATTATCTTTCAAAAGTCAGCTCTGCTCCATAAATATGAGAAGAACTTGGTGTATGAGTAGAAAAACTGATGGAGAATGTGTCCTCTACCATAACTGTTGTAGGTGGTCGAATGATACGTGAGGCACCAGGCTTTTATGTGCAGTGTGTGTAAAGCACGATGGCTTAGCCACTGTCATTGCCCTGCTGTCCTTTTGTCAGTCTTTATTCCAGTAGCTCTAAACTTTGGAGAGTCAACATGCTCTTCTATTGATCCATGAATTTTAGAACATCCTTTTTTCATGCTCTCATTTAATTTGCGAATTTTGATTCTAACTGGTGTCATCTCATGCTGAAACATTCTTCTCTGGAGAGTATGAAAAAAATACAGAAATGGGGTGATTGCATCATTGCATTTCATGTTACTAGACCATAAATATATAGTGGTTTTAAAGAGGCTTACAGGAGAATTTTTAGTGGTATGCTATTTGCCTGATCCATGATAAAGCAGGTGGCTAAAGTAGATCAGTCCGAAAGGCTGACCAGCCATTGACTAGTTGCGATTTCTACCTGATCAATCCTGAGTAAACTACATTAATGAATCTGGAATAAATGTAAAAAAGATTACTGTGAATGAAAAATGAGATTACAAAAGAGATAAATAACTAGCAAAAATCCTTTACTTTGCTATAGCTTTTGGAGTAGAAGATAACCCAGCATCTTCCCTGTGGTAAATCAGAACTGAATTCCTTCTATTTAACCTATTTACAGTGAGATAATATATGAAATACTTTATGAGCAGGTAGGGATATAAAATATTTTAATTTTATATATTTAAAAATATTTAATGATTTATCTGGTGACAGTTTTGTAGATTGGTAACTTGGACAATACCTCTTGGTATATGTTTAGCTGTCAGATTCAGATGGCAAACAGTATTTTATTTGAAGCCTTATTTATCCTGAGACCTGGTCTCTGTAAGTGGCATTAAAAAGCCACTCTCCTTCCTCCCCACCAACTCCTCCCTTCGCAAAACCTCCTTAAATATTGATAAATTCTAACCATTGTTTGTCTGTGGGATGTGTGACAAGTTATCCTGTGTTGGAGCATAGTCTCCTCACTGCCTACTAAAGGTGCTCATTTATTGTATAGATATAATGAGACTTTGGCTTTTTAAGTTGTTCTCAGTGTTTCACTAAATGTTAAACTTTGTGCTTCTTTTTTTTTTTATACTTGTTTTTAGCTAGTGAAGGCCTGGGGTGCCCATGTGACAGCAGTTTGTTCTCATGATGCCAGCGCGCTGTTGAAAAAGCTTGGAGCAGATGATGTGATTGATTACAAATCTGGAAATCTGGAAGAGCAACTTAAAACATTGCCCTTGTACGTGTTTGTGTTGCTAATACTGAAATGAAGGAGTTGGTGGTCAGACCTTCTGCATTTCCATTGCTTGACTCCAGTCTATCAGAACTCCTGGGTTTTTTTGTTTTTTTCTCCATTTCTAAAGTGTTACTTTGTAAAGCAAATTCATCCCAGCCCCTTTTGAATGCAATTTGCCAACTGAATGTCCCAAGCACAGATTTCATTGTAAGACTAAGCCAGTTAATTGGGCTTGTGGAGGCAAGCTCGCTTTCATGTGCTGCTCTTCAATGGCTGTGATTTGAACAGTTTTGTCAGCTTCCATCCAAGGATCTTGGAGCATTTACAGAGCATGAATAAATTAAAATAAGTCTCAGAAATCCTGTGTGAGGTTAGTAAATAATAAAATTGATCTTCCAGTGGGAAGAACTATGTTGTGAAGCAGTTAAGTGACTTGCCTGAACATCTTTAGCTACTGTGCAACTCAACTGGGAGTAAATTTCTCTCATCACACTTACCTTGTCACAGCAGTTATGTTTATGTTGGCTTGGGAGCTTTCTCTAGAGTAGAAATCTCTTTTGCTTTTGTAATCTTTGCATCTGTTTAAACTTAGCCTACTGTGACTTGTATTTGAATATGGTATTTACACTGCTCTTTTTAGCTAGATTGTGTTAACTTTCTGGGAGGGGAAGTAGAAGCTGTTCAATCTGTGAAAGAATCTTACTAATAACTGCAAAGAAAGCATATGCCCGTTAACTATGATGTGGTTGTCAGCAGGCCTGAGGTCAGCTGTGAGGGCACCAGCACTGTCTGTATGGGCAGGATGTGCAGCAACTAACTTAGCAGTTGGCAAGCAGTGCTACATTTGCCTTTGTGCATTTCAACATCTTAAATGCTAAACACTCGTTCTAGCAAGTGATTCTTTTTAGGAGATATCAACAGCACTGTCCTAGGATACAGTTTTATAGAATCATAGCATGGTGTGGGTTGGAAGGGACCTTAAAGATCATCTAGTTCCAACCCCCCTGCCATCAGCAGGGACACCTTCCACTAGACCAGATTGCTCAAAGCCTCATCCAACCTGGCCTTAAACACTTCCAGGGAGGGGGCATCCACAACTTCCTTGGGCAACCTGTTCCAGTGTCTGACCACCCTCACAGTGAAGAATTTCTTCCTAATATCTAATCTAAACCTACCCTCTTCCAGCTTAAAGCCATTACCCCTTGTTCTGTCACTACCTGCCCTTGTAAAAAGTCCCTCCCCAGCCTTCCTGTAGCCCCTTCAGGTACTGGAAGGCTGCTAGAAGGTCATGACTATGGTTATGATACAGCTAAGCTAATTAGTCAGGTATACTGACAGGGATGTTCCTACTTCCCTCCTTTTTTCAGTTGTACTGACTCTTCAGACCCCATAGTGAGCAAATTTTTCCTAGAGCATTAGTTTTCATTATTTTAATTTCTCTTGTTGGCAGTTGTTAGGTTGACTGAATTTTAACATGAAATCAATATCCATGGAAGACAGGCAGGAGAACTCTCTTCCCAGAGATAAGAACTTTTCTATTTAATTTGCATAAAGTATCTTCCCTCTTATTTGTAGGTTATTTAGATTAGTTGTATGTGTATATACATATCCATTGCAATCTAGAGATTGCTGGAAATTTACCAATGAAAATGAGAATGAGCTGTGCATCTGACAGAATAGGTGCATGGCTCCCTCTTGCCCTGTTCAGCCTTTACAGGCTCACGTGCAGGGATAATGAGAAGGAACACTGAAACTGTGGCTTCTTGTCCGAAGCTGCATGTACCCATTCCACGAGGGAAAGGTTTTAGATCCTTTGCATTGTTAGGTTCTGCATTGAATAGGTAGATGGGAACAAAAGAGCTGTCAGGAGAGGTAAAATGACCCCAAAACAAATAAGGAGGTAAAAAAAAAGACTTTTAGAAGTGAAGCTGATAATTGGGTCACAGAAAAGACATGAGGAGATAAGGGTGAGTAGAGTGATTTGTTTATGTAACTTTGTCCACTGTACCTGACTTTCACATAAGTACAGCATGTACAAGAGATGTTCCTAGTCAGTGTGTGAGTCCAGACTAGTTTTTGCATGCTCATACCATGTTGTTCAGTGCTAGGACCAGACCTCAGGACTGTTCCAGTAGTCAAGAGATAGAGCTCTAGAAGGCGTTAAGCAGATAGAAGATGTAGTTGTGCATCTAAGAGTCTGCATTTTGGAGTTTAAGTGCAATTTAAGTTCTCTAAATAGCCTGTGTCTGCTATGCAGTGTATGGGCAATAACCTGTACATTTAACTCCTGTTGTACAGTAAAACTGGGATTTAGCTGAAGTCTTTGGACTTTCTTGCCACTATCTTGCAGGCAGATTATTTTATTGCATTTCAGTGACATAAAAATGTAAACCATAGCCTGTTTCTGATATGAATTAGCTTAATTATGATGAAATTATTTTTCCTGTATCGTGATTTTAAACCTGTTCTTTCTGTGTCTGCAGATTTGATTTCATCCTAGATAATGTTGGTGGATCCACTGAGAAGTGGGCTCTAGACCTTCTGAAGAAATGGTCAGGAGCAACATACGTTACCTTAGTGACACCTTTCCTGATCAATATGGACAAACTTGGAGTGGCTGATGGCATGTTACAAACAGGAGTCACTGTTGGTTCCAAAACTGTAAAGGTATGTGACAAAATCCTGTATACTTTATTATTACATAGTACTCTAGTGGCTTCCTTTGTGGCTTGGATGCTAGTCATGTGGCTCATCTAGAGACATCTGTTGTATTTTCCCCATATATCATTAAGTATACTTCAGATGTATTTTTATTCTTTCTTCCTTGCACTGAAACAAAAATGTGTTGGGGTGGTGCTGATTGGTGTATGTGGTAGTTTGAGGTGCTTTGAAGTTTTGATTCCTTATTGTGCTTTTCATTGTGACCTTTTCCATAGGGCCTCCCTAGTGAGTCCTGCTGACAGCCAGTGTTTCATGGTAAACAGAGCAAATCCCTGCCTCACTGAAGTGAGGGTAATTTTGCTACTTGCTTTAGGCTGGTCAGGCTTTCTCTCAAAACATTTTTCCATGACTGATTCTCTTCATCCTATTCCAGCACCAGAGAGTAATAAAAGTGGTTGAGAGTGGCTAGAAAGTCTTTCATCTCTTTCATGTTCGTGTGTCTGGATGGTGATACAGATTTTTCTAGTTTTCGTAAGTGGATCTTAAAACATTCTGCCAGTGGCCACATCAGTGAGGCTTTTTAGAACTTTTCTCTTTCTTCTCTCAACATGTGTACTTGCTCTCCAGATGAATGCTTTTCAAGCAGTTGCTATGGTATTCCTGTGATGGCATGGTTGAATACGATTCTAAGTCCTGCACCAATACTTTTCAAAGGAAAGCTCAAAAACAAAATGAAAAGGCTGGGAAGAAATAATGTAATATTATTTCTCAGTGTGCATGTTTGCATGACAGGGAGCATTGTATGCCCTGTATTAAAAGTCACCTCTCTGGCAGATGATGACTCAGTAATGACTTACTGAGAGAAGGTGCTCTTGATTTGTGCTTGTGAGATGTTCACAAAATGCTTTTCACAGGAGCTGCCATCTGTCATTGGACGGTGATGACTTTGGCAGATGGGATGTGGAAAATTTAATCGCGGACACTGAAGTGGAAGGTTCTAAATGTCACATTGCTGGGTTTGTTTCACCCCCTTTGTGAACGTGTAGAAACATATAGCACCATTTCTCTCTTACGTAACAAACAGTGCTGTTTCTAGCTGCAGAAACAAGGTGGTTGTTTTTCTCAACTAGCTGACTTGTGCAATTGGACACAAAATGCACCCTGATCCTATTGTGGTAATACAACATCCCTGTCTGTACATTTAATCCACATGCTTAGGGGACACTTTTTTCAGACACTAGCATATAATTTCCATGTATTTTCCTTAAGTTACTTCTCTACTGCTTCTGTCATTCATTTTAGTTCCCATTTCAGTTTCCTTTCATGTTTTTTTAATATATTTGTGATCTTTCTTGCAGCACCTCTTTAAAGGAGTCCATTATCGGTGGGCATTTTTTATGCCAAGTGGCCCGAATTTGGATGAAATAGCAGAACTAGTTGATGCTGGAAAGGTATGTCAGTAATGGTTCTTTGGGTATTTGTGCTGAAAGAGGTGCTGCTTTGACTCAAAAATTCCCACTATTAGGGAATAAGATGTTTTGAGAGTCACAGTGAAGAAAACTAGTTAAGAATTGACTTGCTCCAGTTTCTAACTTCTGCCTTTTGCATGGAATTTAGGAGTTTGTAATCCTTAGGACTTCTGCCTTCTTCCTCTCCACCCTACCTGTTTTTAAAAAAGTTTACTAAGTTATGAGGAAAGAATATCCAGTGGTTGGTTATTTTTGCCAGAGGGAATCATTTAGCATGAACTCTGGTGCTGAAAACGATATGTTTTAAGAAGTCTCATTTTGTTCATTTGGTTGGAATGAACATAACTCTGTGTATCTGTGTATGCAAAATTGCTTAGCCTGGATGGTCAGGAGTCCTGCCCATATTGTGCACAGAACTAGAATATTCAGGTGATTGCAGGCCATAGACGATCTGCATTGGAAGAGTGGTGACATGAATCTTGTGTTTCATTATTTTAGTGCTTCAGAGTTTGATGTTTGTGCTAATCCAGCACAGTGATTTAGAATATTGTGAGCCTTCATAAGCTTTTGGGGAAAGTGGACTTGGGGAAAAGGCATGAAGTGGCAGGTATATTACTGCTCTTCTGATCTTTTCACGTTTATGAGCTTGTTACAAAATGTGTGAGAGCAGCCTGGTATTTGGACTGTGTGGTGCTGTAGGTCCTGGCAGTGTCCTCTTTTGGATAATTTCATGTTAGAGGGTAGGTTTAGATGAGATATTAGGAAGAAGTTCTTCACTGTGAGGGTGGTGAGACACTGGAACAGGTTGCCCAAGGAAGCTGTGGATGCCCCCTCCCTGGAAGTGTTTGAGGCCAGGTTGGATGAGGCTTTGAGCAACCTGGTCTAGTGGAAGGTGTCCCTGCTGATGGCAGGGGGATTGGAACTGGATGATCTTTAAGGTCCCTTCCAACCCAAACCACTCTATGATTCTATGATTCTATGTTGCCCAAATTTCCAGGGTAGAGAATATGGACAAGTGCTGTTTAATCTTTCTGTGTGGTGCCTAAGCAGAAGAAGAAGCACAATCTGCCATGACTGCTGGTAATTCCACTATGTGAACTGTCAGGCACGACATCTTGTGCTCAAAATTTGTGCATATTAGTAAAATTTAGATCTTTCAAAGTTTGAGTGTTGATTTCCTTTTTCGCTATGCATTATGTTCCAGAGTTTGGAGAAGAGTAAATAAATTGCTGTCATGCTTAAGGCCTCATTGCTTCTCTATGCCACCTTAGTGCTGCTGGTCAGAACAAAAATCTTCCCGAATTCAGTCACTCCTATTCCTCTGTCATGACCAGTGTGCTGCTGGCACTGCCAGTGGAAAGTCTGCATTTCCTAAAAAGTTACCTACCCGTAAACAGAGGCTGCAGAGGCTGCAGCAGCAAATAAGCTGTGGTGAAGCGCATTCCTGGCTACAGGTTTGTGTTATATCCAGTGCTGTGGGCATTATCCTGTGGCCAAGAAAGAAACCCTAGAAGATGCACCTCGTCCTGTGATTGCATCCAGTCGCGCTACTAAATTGTAATGGTCTAAGAAACAGAAATGCCCTTGGCTTTGTTCTTACCATTTGTCCTGATTCTTAGCCAGTCACAACTTGTTTTGTGTTCTGCTCCTACCTTGTATGCAAAACAAATGCAGAATATGCCCATGAAAGCCTCTTGGGAAACACTTGTTTATGCAATAGAGATGGGGCTTAATCGGTGTTCTCTGCCTAATAATCTGGACAGGTGAACTGTAATCCCATTTAAAATGTACGTCATACATATATGAATGTCCTGATGTGCTTTTTGTTGTAAGGTGATCATGGGGACAAAGATGTTTGCTTGGTCTTTTATTCTCTGTGCAAAACAGGTCATAATGTCAGACTGTTTATCTGCATAGTCATTATTCTAGCAGCATTTTACTCTATTTTGTAAAATGCTGTAAACACCTGTGCTATCAGCAGTACATTGTAGGGCTCAGTTGTGTTCTATTTAGATAGAGGTTAATAAGACTATGCCCTTTATTGTCTAGACACAGGAGTTATCTTAAATGGACAGATCATCCATTCAGAAGAAGAGGCGTTTGGAAAAAAAGGCAGGAGAGAAGTACTGGAGGAAGTATACCATAATTTCCCATAACTAAGTGAAAAGAAATGTTTATGTTTGAATAGGAGAGAAAAAATGAGAATTAAAAACATAAAAACCACAAAGCAATAAAACTGTAGCAAGAAGACTTGGGGAAGCCAGCAAAGTGAGTTCATGTAGTTGAACTTCTTAGTTTTGATTGAATACAGTTTTGAATAGTGCAGATTGAGTTATTTTGAAATTTCAGTGGATCCTCTTTTCTGTTGCAGACATCTTAACTTTGAGATTGTATGACGTGTGAATAGGAGAGCAATTGGAGAGCTCCTGAAAATGAGAGGCTTTTTTCAGGGAAGTATAAATCATGAGGGGGGGATTTAAAGGAAGGAAATTAAAAAGAACTGATGGTTTAAAGAGATGATGTTAAAGCAGAAGTGAAGCTTTGAAGAGCATACCCCTGAAGCAGTTACAGATCATACTGACTTAGCAGTGTTTTTTCTTTTGGTCCTTTTGCACCAACACAGATTTTTAGTTCTAATGAGTTCATCATCTGTCTTTTCAAAAGCAAAAGCATTCTCAATTCTTCAGTGGATGAAGAATAAGCAAAAAGGACATTTTGTTTAAAGATACTCTGTTTTCACACAGATGATCTTTGCAGCAAGGAATAGAGATCTGCAGAATGTCAGCTATGAGGAGGAGTTCTTTTAACAGCCTTTTTTAATACAGAGGAGAAAATTATTTGATGAGCTGGTAGTGCAAAGGAGGAGAATAATTTTCCTTCTGTAACTTACCTGCCCATCAGCTCAATTTAGGGGCTTGTAAAACCATTTTTGGTTTATGAGCTGTTTTCTCTGCCTTGCAGCTGGATATCTTGCAGAGGGACTATTGTAAGGCTGAGGGGCTGGGAGGCTGCTGCAACAGTAGTGGACATGGAGAAAATCAAGTATTTCCTTGTCAAATTTTAGAGATACTGGCTACTTTCTAAAATGCTAAGAAGTCCCTGTTGTGGGTTGAACTCTGCCAGTTGATTACGAGCCAGTGAGGACTGGTTTTAACATGGTCTCCACCAAATGAGTCGGTGAAGCACTGTCAGAAGATGGGGATCTCTTTCCACGGCAGAACGTTCCTGGTGAATTACAAGTTTCTCATCTAAAGACCACTGAAGTCAACAGAGAGCCTTTAGTTCAGGACACAGATCTACTGGCACAGTTTTCGCTGAAGCATCGTCACTGGTCTGTGCTGCCAGCACTGTCACCGAAAGGCTTGTTAGCAATTAGTTAGATGGATTCGTGATCAGTGTTGTGGATTTAACATTGACAGTCTTGGGTTTTGCTGCTTGCTTAACTTTCTCCTCCTTTCTAAGGATGTGCCATTTAGTCCTTGGTGAAAACAGACCAAACTCGTGTAACTCCATAAGTTTGTAGAAAGCCTCTGACTTAAAACTGAGCACTTACTTTGCCTTTGAGAAAGCCTGATGGAGGAAGGCGGGCTCAAAAGGCTCCTTAGCGTCGTAAGGGGGAGCACTGAGTATGTTGTATGTTCCTGCTGCACCAGGATAGGATGTGGGTTACCATGCAGCCCTACAGAAAATTGGAATTGTCATTTTAATTTATAGAGCCATTTAAATGCAGTGCAAGTGTGTGTGTGTGCAGTATTTCTCGTGGCTTAGTAGTCTTTCCCTCAGAGCAGAGTGGCATCAGGTGGGCTGATGGGTGGAAGTTGATTTTGCAGAAGGAAAGCTAAAGGACAAGCAGAGTGTCCGATCAGGAAACGAATAGATCATTCTCGGTGTTGTTTGCTTTCTAGATAAACCTTGCAGCACAGGCACACATAAGAGGAACAATTGCATGCCTATATTAATGTAATTTGTGTGTAGTGTTGATTATACATTTTGCTGAAGACTGTACATGCTTTGGACTTAGCACCTGCTGTTGTGGTTTGGAGGACAGGATTCTGACTGTTCTTTGCTGCTGTCTCCTTGTGCAATGCTGTACAAATCACATAACCTTTTGCTACCGTAATTTCCCTATCTACTAATGAGGGCTAATGCCCTTTATCCACCTTTGATGATTTGCTCTGAGATAACCCTGTTAAAACGTGGAGTTCAATTGCTAGTCTTTGCTATTCAGGAAGTAAGTAACACCAATGGATATGGTCATCCACTTCAACGTTACAAGGAACGAGTTGTTTGGATGCCCATGATTTAAGATGGCTTATATTCCTCCTAGTCACGTCGGTTATCACAACTTCTTGACTCTCTATCCCAACCTGTATGTATTGATTTGCTTCCAATTCATCTTGTTACAGTTCTGCAAGTAACTTGTTGCACAATTGTTGCAGATCTCTCTTGTCCGTAGGAATATCAAACAGCTATGTAACATATGTTCTCCAAACCTGGCATCTCTAGATGTGGCCTTCTCTGCAGTGATGCCAATCTTTGTCACTGTGGCTGTGCTAAGGTATCTTAAGGTACCCAAGGTGACTCGCCCTTGGGTGGTGCCTGTTTTACTCTCCCTATCTGAAAAAGGACACCGGGGTTGTGATTCTGTACTTAAATGTCTCAATTGACTAGAGAGCAGTCCTTCTCCCCACTCTCTGGAGTCACTCACACTTGTTCTGATGACATCTTTCTCCATGCTAAATTGCAAAGGTTGCACTTTTTGGTTTGTTTTTGGTTTTTTTTTAATTTTATGTTTTCTTGTTGCAGTGCTTTTGCTTGCCAGGTTGGTTGGCGAAAGCCCAGAGATATTGATCAAGAAGAGGCTGCCAAAAGCTCTGTTCAGTCCTTTCTCTTCCCAAAGGAACCTCTCTCTGCATTTTGTCACAGCTACCAATAAAAAACACAGTGATTTTTATTAAAATACATCTGCTCCTCTTCCTCCA